CCTCTTGTATAATGGTAGGGGAAACGCTGGTCTTGAACAACATCTCTTTCAGTATCAACACGTACTATGCCATATTGTATTCCTTCCACAAACTCAACTTTATAGTTTTATTAAATATACACGTTCTGGTAGTTTTAATGAACATATCTGACTGAACTTTTTTCTGGTGTCTTCTCCAACAGGAAGTGATTTCAGAAAATGATTATCTTCAGCGTTGTAAATGATAGGCATCCAGGTTTTACATTTCCAATAAAGATGTGCCTTAAACTTCAAACTAATGGTTTTACTGGTGGTGTTCCTATGTTCCTGCAGGTTCCACACCATCTCTGGCCCAGTCAAGGAAACAGAACCAGACACAAAAGCTCAAATCAAGATATGAAGAGAAAAGAGGAAAATAAGAGATCTTTCACCTGTTCACCTTGGACTGCATGCTTTATTCCCGACCCTCTGTGGTGTTTTACACTCCAATCAATTACTCACTGCCTGCTGTGAAGTAATCATCAGTTCACCTTTACCACTGGTCCCTGAGGCGCCATCCACACAGGGAGCACATTTGATAATAATTGAACCTTTTATTTTTTGTCAGTTTAGCCTTGCATCCATATGGAAACAGTGTTTGGGAGCACCAGAAGAAGAATGGAAAATGTAATGTTGATTCCTTCCTTGTGTTTTTGTGTAGACAGCCATAATCCAACCTTTTGAAAATCATTATGTCAAAGACCCATGAACCCAACTAAAACCCAAACATGTGAGGTGTCAAAAAAAAGACAGATTCTGTTTTTGTGTTCATCCTACAGAACCTGGTTACTAGGATTGCTTCAGTTAGCAGAGAGCACTGATGAACAAAAACAAACACCTCACAAAGGAGAACCAAATGAAGAAAAAGGAAAAACTTTGGGTTTGGCTTTTACATTTGGAACTTAGCATGCAAGCTTTATGCACAGGGTCTTTTCTATTATGTATTTTTTGTGTATTTTTGTAGCAGTGTTACAACGTGACCAATAATGCTTTGAATTGTTTGTAGTTTTCCATGTGAATGAATACATTTTTTAAAGTGTTGCCATGTTTATGAAGGTATTTGTAGAAATTACAGAAAAAAAAATATTTTTTTGAAAAATCAGTTTTCATGTGGACAAGGTCTGAGTCCCCCAGCTTGGTTTTCCCAAGTGTAAAATAAATTCTCATTGTTTAGCACAGTACATTATTCCCTTGGCTGTTAAAAAATTACTACTAACATTTTAATATTATTTAGCACAATGTTGTTACATTTTGTTGTTTTTGTTGTTGTTTTGTTGTTGTTGTTGTTTTTGTCTCTTTTTTGTTTTTGTTGTTAAATGCATTGTAGCATTTGCAGTTGCTATTGTCTCAGGATGATGACACCATAGCCTCTTTTATAAGTCAAATCTGCAAATCGCCCCACAGACTGGCCTGACCAGGTCCCACTCACATGCACGCATTCATAAATGAACCCATTTGCGTGGAACCAAGAGAGGCTTGGAGCAGAACTCAGCTGGGCTGAAGTGGACTGCC